GACGGCCCCACCACAACTAGTGTCTCGTCCCGCCGGCCTCAGGCTGCTGGGTCACCTCCTAATGCGCCCCGGCCTCCCCCTGCCCGAACGTCTGGCACTCAGAAGCAAGAGTGGAGCCTGATGGCGGAAGAAAGCAGGGCCACCCGCCCCTGCGGAGAAGAGGGCGCACACAAAAAAAGAAAACAAACCAGCTTCACACCAGTTTCAGATTCATTTAGTGGAGGCCAAAACGAAACACAAAAGGCCGTGGGAGGTGAGAATGCAAAGCAAACGCCCGGTTGCAGGATCTCCTCGGAACATAACAGTTTAATTTGCATTTGGGCCTCTGCGTATTTCCATCGTTCTCAAAGCAGGTGCAAAATGACTGTGTTCAAAGAAAAAGGCATGCCTGTTTTCTTTGGCCTTATTTTTTCTCTCTCCCTCTACAAAAACAGGTTAAAACGAGCATGCTTTACTGGATGAAACTAGTAAAAGTTGGCTTTGCAGCACCACGTTACAGCCTCACGTCTTCTGAATCCCTTCCCAGAAGGCCACCATGTGCCAGGGGGAAGAGAAAGCCCCACTAAAGACCCCACTCCACCCACGGGAAAAAAAAAAAAAAAAAAAAAAAAGTGCTAGATGTTGGCTTTCCACATTTCCAAGCTCACAAGTGTTTCCAAGTAGCAATGCCTTAAGCGGTTTCAAAAGAGGCTGGTAGAAACACAGGGCGAGATCTTTCAAAGTTGACTCCTGTACTTTGGCATTTGGCTACCACCTGCAAAGGCACCTTTGACCCATCTTCCTCTGATGAGTCTCAGAATGATTGAACGTCTGGTCTCTCTGCAAGAACTCCCTGAACTTTCCCTCTTGAACTGCTCTGATAACCAGCACAGGAGCAATGCTACCTCACTTAGGTGCTATGGGGAAAAACAAATGGGCTTGGCGTTTTGGCCTCTAAACTTTTGCAGTCAATTTAGTACTGTAGAATTTTGTACCCCCTCCCCCAGCCAATTTTCTACCATGGGCTACACAGATTTACAAGAACATTTCCCACTACTCAGCCTGAATGTGTTTCTGCTAAAGTGCAGGCTCATGCATGGTTTATCTTCTTCTCCTGAGCTTTTATGCGTTATTATGAATGGTAGGACTGAGCCTGAACAGAGCATGTATGGAAGAATGTATTATAAAAAGACTTAGCAGTTTCCTTTTTTTAAAAAAATATGTATTTGCTTTAAGAAGACTTTTTGAAAGAGCAGGGTCCCGCCTTGCCTGGGATATTGCATCTACAAGAAGAGATGCTCCAGGGGCACCTCTGGACTCACAGGGGATGGCATTTAGAGAAGGAGTATCCAGCCAAACAAGGAGTTTCTAGCACATTTCAAAAGGCTTGAAATTTCTGGCATTTAATTATTTGTTGTTGTTTGCTGGACTGATCTTAATGGGCACAGGCCTCACAGGTTGTGAGGAGAGAAAAAAAATTGCAAGCGTAGCTTGCACGAATACCCATGTGAAGCAGAGAGCCACTGCCCCACGCTGCTCTGGTGCCTCCCGCAGGGTTGCCAACATGGGCAGAAGGGTAGGACAAAATCTGTGTCTCTGGC